TCTAAGAATGTCTGGGAGTCCAATATTGGGAGCCACATTGATGAAATGGACAGGTTTGGTGCTGTATTATCTTATTTCATTCATTATTTGCTAGCACCGCAATACTAGCCAAATAATAGACTTTTTCAATAGGGGTGGTTTTCATGCAATGAAAAATAATCCTGCACGACTTACTAAGAGCTACATTCAGTTGTTTGGCATGTGCTGATTTCTACCATACAGCACTAGAATATTCTATTGTGAGATAACACAGGGACTAAGTTGTTATTGCTTGTGAGTGTGCACCCCAGTGTGACCCAGCCATTTTCTTAAGTATGTTAATTCTGGTGGCAACTTTCTGTTTGGTATTTAAACAATGTTTTTTGTAGGTCAGGGCTCAATCCAGTTGTTGTTGTTTAGTTGTTAAGTCATGTCTGACTCTTCATGACCCCATGGACCAAAGCACACCAGGCCCTCCTGTCCTCCACTGCCTCCCAGAGTTGGGTCAAATTCATGCTGGTAGATTCGGTGACACTGTCCAACCATCTCGTCCTCTGTCGTCCCCTTCTCTTCTTGCCTTCACACTTTCCCAACACCAGGGCCTTTTCCAGGGAGTCTTCCCTTCTCATGAGATGGCCAAAGTATTGCAGCCTCAGCTTCAGGATCTGTCCTTCCAGTGAGCACTCAGGGTTGATTTCCTTCAAAATGGATAGGTTTGTTCACTTTGCACTCTTTGCTTCCAGCACCACAAGTTCAATCCAGAGTGATGTCCAAATATTTTGGGGTAGGGCAATGTTTTGAAATTGTGCTTTCCCAGCTAATTCAGAGCTATCTCTTTGCTTCTCTATTGTTTAAGTGGAAGGTACAGACTTAATATTATTAAAATATTTGGTTTCAACTGGTTATTATTAAAGGCACAGACTTAATATTATTAAAATATTTGGTTTCAACTGGTTATTTTTATAATACTGTATAAGGAAATACCTTCTAATACAGAGGTTAGCTGGTGCTCAGTGGCCTCAAAGGCTTCCCGCTGGACTGTCAAAGCAAGATCTTCAGCATAAATGAAACTCCTGGAATATGGGAATGTTGGTTGATCATTTGTGTAAATGTTACAAAGTAATGGTATCCTGTGAGATGTCAGTCCTTTGATTTCTCCAACAACAGTGCTTCCTTTGAAATTCAACCAAGATTCTCGACTTTTTTTTACAGTGGTTGAAATCCAGTAATAAATCACACAACTAGAGCTGGGCCATTGAATCAATGGAACGTGCGTAGTTGATTCACCCAGTTCTCGCTGATTCAGTGGGCCTATTCTAGTTGCAATTAAGTGTCAGATTTTAAACCTCCTTGGGTTCTTTTTAGGAAGAAAGGTGGGATAACAAACAAACAATGACTTCTCTCTCTCTCTTTGTCTGAGAGCAGCAGACATTTTCAGTTTCCTAAAGATTCTTCTTAGCAACAGAATAAGAATGCTGAAAATGAGATGGATTGACTCAATAAGGAAGCTATATCCTTTATTTTGCAAGACCTGAGCAGAGGTACTAATGATAGGACTTTTTGGAGGTCTCCAGGGCATGGGATCATCATAAGTCAGAAGAAGCTTGATGACACTTAACAACACATGACTCATCCAGGGATACAGCAACTTGATATCTTTAGGGAGTATTTACAAATTACTCTAAAGAAGAACAAACTATAATTCCAAATGCTGTCCTTGAGGAGCCAGTGCTCCTAATCTCAGTATCCAATCCATTTCTATTTTCAACATTAAAATAAAATAAAATACAACCACCACAACCACAGCCACCACCACAGCTACAACCACAACAATGCTGCGCCCATTGTCCCAAGACATAACATTTTTCAAAGAGCGTTGGTACTCCATAAATCTGACAAAAGAACTGAAAGCTGTACAATTTGACTTTCAGCCCTATAAACCAACAGGTTGCAAGGCATCATTAAGAAAAAATGATGTATTTGGAGAAGTATGATAGCTGTTAAGTGAAACCTGTCATTTCCTTTAAAAGGACCCAAATATCAGATAATGCCAATACATGCACATAGTGTCCAACTTTCTAGACCAGAAGAATCTGAAACAATGCACTGTGAGACATTTTACCACCTGAAGCATTTTTTTCTTGGCATATGTCATCAGATGCCACTTCAATAAGCTTTATCTAGGAAGGACATTTGGGGCACCTAACATGTATTCAATTCATGCTTGTTGAAAAACAGTTTGTCAAAAAACATTCATGCCTGTTGACAAACCTCCATGACCATTGTTTTATGTTTGGGTGAGAAATGGTGAACTGATGAGAAAAACGGAGTCAGCTTCTGGGATTTTGGTTTGCTGGGTGAATGTTAATGAGTACAAGAGGGCATCCTGTAGAGCATCTTGGCTGCTGCCTCTGGTGTTGTCATCCTTTTTCCTGCTGGCAATGTGGGTGTAATATTGGCTTTTTGAATTGTGTATTCAGAAGCACAATATCCCACATTGATAACTGGAGGTGTTTTGTTTTTAAGAATGGCAGTTCCTGTCTTTTTAAAACAGAAATATATGTACAGTATATGTACACTGCACACAAATTCCAACAGCTTTCCTCAGGTAAAATTATCCAGTATGAGAGGATCCCAGAACATGAGCACGTGATTTGTACTATGGTTGCTGCAAGAGGACAGAAGCAAAAACAGCTCATATGGGACTACAGTATTATCCCTAAATGCCAAAATATTTTGAAGGGCTGATGGTGGACTTAATGAATCAGAGAAGCAAAGGTGTGAGAATGTGCAACACATACAATGGAGAAACGTACACACCCTTTAACCTCAGGTCAACTGATGTTGCCACGCCTGCTCTGCAGAATGGAAATTGGAACTAGAAAGTTATGCTCCAATTCCCAAACCCTTTCTTTGATTTAAGCAAACTGAAGAAGAAAAGCTATATCAGACCAAAACCTCTATCAACATGTTGTGTTCATGTTTTCCAAAATATGTCCCTTTACTGTTTGAAATTTAAAAAAAAAAGAAGTTGAAGTTTGCAAAGAATGGCACTGGAAACCGAGGTCTAAATCATCCATGCTGTGTGAAATGAAGAGAGTGAAGAAAGATAGGGACATAAATCAACTCATTTAAAATTTGGTATTGTAGAAGAGCCATACAGATATGGAAGACAACCAGGAAATAAGAAAAATGGATGCTCAGTCAAGTCAAGCATGAACTCTCACTTGAGCAAAAATGACCCAACTGAGCCTGTCCTACCATGCAGATACAATGGAAATAGAGAAGTGACAAGAATAGATTATATTTTTGTTTTCTTTAATTACTGATCACCGGCTCCTTGTGGGTTTATTGTCTTTGTTTTGCCACCATCTTTTGTGTTACCTTGGATTTTTAGAAATATTTAGTTTTCAGGAGGGCTTCTCTTCTTCTTAATTGATACCCATTATTGAATTTTATTTTATGCCTATGTCAGTGGTTTTAGTTGTAAGCCACTCAGTAATGGTATAGCCACTAGATCGGTGGGATCAAAAATTTAAAAATAAACAAATAAAATATATTCGTGAAGGCTTTCACGGCCAGGATCTAATGGTTGTTGTGGGTTTTTTGGGCTCTTTGGCCATGTTCTGAAGGTTGTTCTTCCTAACGTTTCACCAGTCTCTGTGGCTGGCATTTTCAGAGGACAGCACTCTGGGCATCTTCAGAGGACAGAGTACTGTCCTCTGATGATGCCGGCCACAGAGACTGGCGAAACGTTAGGAAGAACAACCTTCAGAACACGTCCAAAGAGCCCAAAAAACGCACAACAGCCAAATAAAATATTACTGAGAAAAATATGGGAGGAGCAGTAGGAAAAGAGAAAGACCTAACTTGAGATGGGTTGACTCAGTAATGGAGACCACAACTGCTAGTTTGTAAGACCTGAGCAGAAATTACTTCAAAAGACAATATTGCTAGGAAAAGAGGGCAGCAGAAAGAGAGAACAATCTAATATGAGATGCAGTGACTTTGTAAGATCTGAGCAGAGCTGTTAATGATAAGTCATTTTAGAAGCCATTAACTCGTACAGTAACCACACATCAGAAGTGACTTGATGCAACATAGCATCTTTGGAGGCTTTTTTCTTAATTACCAAACAATGGTATAGTGACAAAATGGTTGGAACAGGCACCAGTGCTCTGCTAAGAGTCAGTTGCTGAGAGTCTGGTGGGATCAAAATTTTGGATTGCAGAGAGCTCACCAAAGCTGCAACAATGCATCTAATTTGGAACATTTTTTCCTGCTGGTAAGCCTGTTCCAGTGAGTTTAGAACAGTCACTGTTTTTCTCTATTGAAAGCTCTTTTTAAAACTTTAATATTTAACACCCCTGAAGCCTGGATTCCTTCCAAATTTTAAAAAAAGCAACTGGGACTAACCATTTTCTTTCAAGACAAGCAAGGTTGGTCTTTTTTAATTTACTTCATCTGTTTTAAATCTGCTGACAAAGATGGTGGCTTGTTTCTGCATGGGGGACAGTTTTACCCTTTTAAAAAAATCATTACTTGAAAATCCTTGGCCCAAACATCTCCAAGTTTGGCACGGAGTAAGAGCATATGATCTGCTATATCTGTGCCAAATTTGATGCTGAGCCAAAGTGCAAAGTTATACTTTTTTATTTGGGGCACTCCATTTTTAGAAGTGCCTTGTTGAATGTTGATTTGCTGCGCTGCTCAATGTCCTCTGCTGCACTCCTGTGCAGCAACAATATAGGTAAACACCTTGGTAATATCAGGATTGAAGCATTAGGAGTTCCCCACCCCCACACCCCGGCCATCACTTTATGGAAATGGGAATAAAACAGATTCCCACCTCCCCTCATTTTGAGATTTTGTCTTTCTTTTTTCTTGGATTAAATCAGATAGTTCTACTTTGTTGGTTTCTTTTAATTAGTTAGTCTAAAACAATGTTTTTATCATTTCAGGAATTGATTGATTGGTTATTAATTGTAATCCTCATCCTTTATTATCTTGCATCATTGTAGCTTTTACCCTTTTCTGGGGTGTTCAAGAAGACAGAGATCTGGGCTCGTCAATATCCATTTGCCTTCCCACTATGGTATGGGAGGTACTCTGCATGTTTGATAGTCACACACCCAGAATATGCAAAAACCTTGCTTGCTAGAACAGGTAAGAGACAAAATCATCTTAATTAACCACTATTAGCATCTGTTTGTATGTATGTAGGTATGTGCGTGTATGTAAGACAGAGAGCAGGATGGAAATTGATATCCTAGAGATACTGGCACAACTGGTAAAACCAAATACCAAACTCAACCCATCATAAAATGGAAAGCCATCTATAAGTTCCATATGACTCATAAATATCCACGGCAATCTGTGAATACAATGAGTATGACCTATGGTTTCTTCTTATAGAATGTTACATTCTGAGACACAACTGAAATGTGCAATCAGTAGATGCCAATAATCAAATTTGTATGTATGTGGTCAGCAATTGCTGCTGTGTTTCAAACAATGTTGCAGTGATGCCATAGCTAGGAACAATGGCCTTGAAACATTACTGGCTTATTAGAGGCTAGGACACTGGGCAATTCACATTACTATAATAAACCCTGCTTTCATGGCTCAGTGGTTAAACTGCAATACTGCAGCCACAACTCTGCTCACAACCCGAGTTCAATCCGATATAGTTGGCTCTATCTGCCATTCCAGTTCACCACTCAGAGGGATCTGGGAATTAACAGCTACATCAGGTGGCACTTAGTTCTCCCGATGGAACTGGATCCCACCCCAATGCTCAGCTGGGGAACTGAGCTGTAATTAATAAACTTGTGGTCTTTTAACCTCCAGTTGTGTGTACGGTATGTTTATTGTCAGGGAGAAGGACCAGGATTGCTTAGCAATAAGCCCACAAGACATTTCATGGTGCAGTGGTTAAACTGCAGTACTGCAGCCAAAACTCTTCTCACAACCTGGGTTCAATCCCAGGTAGTTGCCTCGAGGTTCACTCAGCCTTGCGTTCTTCTGAGGTTGGTAAAATGAGTACCCAACTCTCTCTCTTTCTCTGTATGCTTTAAGTGCTGTTGGGCAATATACAAGCAGCACACTTTGCTTTGCTTTTTCCCCCTGGAGATGTCTCTTTTAGATTCCTTTCTTAAATTGTCCTAGAGCAGAGACAAGGAAAGGTTTTTTTTTTTTAAATTACTTTAAAAGACAACTCCCAGTATCACAATAGCATGGCTATTGGCCCTGATGGTAGGGAGACGGTGAGAGCTGCCACCCCCCCCCAAAAAAAGAGAGTAATTTTCCCATTCTCTGTAATGGAGGCACAGCAGTGCAACTCTTCCTCTGTGCTACATTTATAATGGGACATTCTGGTCATGTAGGAAGAGCTTAACCCCGGGTTCTCCCTATACCTCTGTTGCCACCTGGGTGCAACTGCATCCCAACTTAAATATGCACTGTGCTGTTTAGAGACACCCCCCCCCCA